ATCTATCCATTTTCTTTAGTAGTAGGGCTGCAGGAAATCTTTCTCTTCTCAAAGGGGGTTTCAAGTTTCTCACTGATATCATGTAAAAAATACTTGGGAGTGTATGAGCAAAAAATAACTGCATTTCAAAGGGAGCTTGAGCCATGCAGATAATGATAATTTTTCTTCTCTGAAGCACAGAACAGAAGAGTGGAGGCCCCTGGGAGCTGGGAGCACCATTGTTCTTCTTCCAGGCCATTATCTGGAGACAGGCTCTGAGATAGACTCCGATGAGGCCATGGGAAGGATTATCTGCTCCAAGTGCTAATGGCATGCATTTGACAACATCAACCATTTAATTTATGAGGTGCCTTGTAACCTAAAGGCAAAGAAATTCATACCATGCAATAGCCCAAACACATCCGGTGCAATTAAAAATTGTCTGCTCAAAGCCCAGCCTGCTCTACAGCCCCATTTACCTAATCACAGCTATGTAGAAAAGTTCCACCTTCCTAAGAGGCACCTTACTGGACTTTGTACTATGATGGCAGCGTTATATAATGAGAAATATATTAATGGAAACTATCCAGCACTGAAATCATTCCAGTCTTTTTATCACCACATTCCTTGCTCCCACATAAGTGAAGTGTGCAGGAATAAAAGCAGCTAAGCATCTTTCACTAGCAGACACACATGATGGGCATTGCTCACAAGCCCCTAACAGCTCAGTGGTGCCCGTGAATGTTGGGATTCATACATACACTTTGGGCAAACAGAGCTGCTCATACTGGGGAATTATTTTTCAACTGCCCCTGGCTTGTGGCCATGTGACAGTCTTGCATTGGAGGACAGTTTAGTCCTGTGACCCACATAAGTTGCTCTTTCAGCTGCCCTGGCCCCAGTCTCTGTCACAAGTTTGTCCCATGCCCCATGCCCTGGTCTTGGAAATAATCAGACTTAAATAATTATGTTTTTCTATTGCACTAATATTTGTAAAAAACTAAATTTATTTTGACTTCTCACATACAGTGAGAAGCTTAATGGCTTAGTCACTAAGCCTCTGAATAGAATATTCAGAGCAGCTTCTGAAAGGTAGGAAAGGTTTGGGTGGCAAGTCCTCTTTTTTCAGCACCAGTCAAGCAAAACAATGGGTCAGAGAGGGCTGATCTGGGTCTCAGCTTCTGCAGCATCACCACCAGACATGAGATTTGGGATCACAGTGATGGATCTGAATCAGGGCTGCTACCAAAACAGAGGACCCTTAACCCATCACTCTGCATCTTCCTATGCCAATTGTTACCCGTATTTGTGCATCCTGCTGGGTCAGCTGCAACAAGCCTTGTCTAAAAGGGTTGGATTTCAGCCACAGGAGCCCCTGCCCATGCAGCACCACAGGCAGCAGAGCCAGGCTGGGGAGCAGGACCTGCAGTGGGAATTAAGGGCTGGGGAGCACAGGGGGCAAGTACCAGCCCTGGCTTGGATGGGCTGATGCTGAAAACCACAGACAGGCATCTACCTGTTGCCAGACAGCTGGTAACTAGCTGGCACTGAAACAGGAACAAAAACTCTCCTGTGGATGTTCTCAAGGTGCTTTAGAGCACTGCTACAACACTTGTCACTGGCAATTACTGCAGCAGCTCCCTTGTGCTGCATATTAGAGAAAAGCTCCAAAAAGCCCGAGTATTTGACACAAGCTGTTTTGTGAGCATCCCCACACATGCTCCTGTGTCAGATCCAGCCTGGACGCACTGGTGGCGATGGGACCCTGCCAGGGGAGCAGCGATGCTTCGGTCGGGGTTGTGTGTGAGCAGGAGGTCCCGCATTGCCCCTCCTGCCATCCAGGGAGGATGGAATGCTGCCTGCCAGGGAACGCTGCCTGCCAGGGAATGCTGCCTGCCAGGGAACGCTGCCTGCCAGCGAACACATCTCACACCGCCCTTCGCGTCCTAAGTGCGCTAATTGAGATTTTATTTGACGGCTCCCAAGTGAGCTTTTAGGGGAAGAACAGACAAACAAAACACCCCTGGCTGACGGCGGGGAGCTGTGAAACAATGGGAGTTTTGTAGGACATCTCCCAGTTTACCTGCTCCAGGCCAAGAGGAAGCGCTCCGCCCTCCGCAGCACAATGAGGGGGTGACACTCACCTTCGTGTCACCTCTGGGGTCCCTTCCGACCCTCAGGTGAGAGGGGCACACATTACACACCGAAAGGGAGCAGAGGGAGGTGACTGGGGGCGCCGGGAGCTGTCTCTGGGCTGGCTGTGGTGGATGGCAGTGGTCCATCACCATGGCTTGCACAGGCTGGGCAGTGGCATCTGCAACCCTCACTGGAGCAGTCAGTGCAGAGCTCTTCATCTGCACATGGAAACTTTCACCCCGAGTGCTGTTCTCCCTTCCCCACTAGGAATTCCCACCAGGGGCTTTTCTCAATCCCTTCCTCTTAGCAAGAGGTCTCTAAATTTCAGCAGCAAAGTGCTGTTCAAATTTTACCACCTGGAAAAATCTTTTGTGATGAGCAATTGTGCTGTCCCTGCGGTTGTTCCTTACAGTGGCAGGGTTCCCCTCTGATGGAGGGCAGCTTGCAGATTTTAAGGGGCTGCAGCACTCACCTGGACCCACAAAATTGGCTTGTAGGTAGCTGAAATATTTATACACCTAGCAGCAGCTGAGATTTTGAGCTCTTTAGTGTCTCTGCTTGCCTCTTTGGTGTATACACCAAGAACCTCCCTTTCAAAGCATTGTGCCAATGGGCTTAAGACCAATTACCAAAATAATTTTAGTAGGAAGAAGCCAAATATCATGGCTTTGAGAGAGATGCTGAGCCAGGCTTGCAAAGGTACATCACTGCCTAGAGACATACAACAGTTGCTAATGGCTAAGGCACTGAACTAGTAGAAAATCCTCATTTAATCTCATTAAGGACAACAGGATTCGGTGCATTACACAGGATCAGATGGGAAGGGTACACCATTACATCTGAGATGCTCTGCTAATCATGGCGATGGCAAAAGTCTGCAAATGGTAAGCTTCTGTTTCCTTCTTTAGGTTGTGAACCTGGAGGTCAGGACTCGTTTTGATGCCTATTTGGCTGGGAATTTTGCACTCTGGTGCAGCCAGTATTAATAACTCTGAGCATCAATCCTGAAAGGAATGGGTACAACCAAACCTAGAACACTCCCAGCACCTGGTGTAGTTCATGTTTGGATTCAAACAGCTGCCAGGGAACAGACAAAAAAACTTGTGCTGCTGGGTGCTAAGGCCAAGCAGGCAAACATTACCATGAAAACCTGGAAGCCAAGTGGGGCAGGAAAGAAAGAAGTTGGCTTGTGAAGTAAATGCTGCTGGTTTTGGTGAACCAGGAAGCTGCTCACCAATTTACATAACAAACCCAAACTCCATTTCCAGCACGTTCTGTGGCTGGCTGGCAGGAGAGAGGATGAGTCAGGGCAGGGGCATGGCTGGCAGGCAGTGCCAGCACACCCGGCACACCCTGCAGCACTGCCACCCCCGAGGCCACTGGGCACCTCCTGTTTGGCACAATGCAAGAGAAGGCTGGCTCCAGACTGGGGGATGGCTCCAGGTCCAACAAAATTCAGCTGGAGCCACTTGGAGAGGAGAGGGAGATGCTGAGGAGGTCCCAGGTGTCCACGGCTGGCCGGGGAGCTGCATGGCTTTACATCAGCTGCAAGCTGCTCAGGTGTGCTTTGTCTGCTGCTGTTATCCACAAAGAATAACTTCTAGGAATGTTTTAGGCATATTTTAGCTGCCAGTCCTTTGATGGTATGTTCCTATATGGAATTGGCTGACCTCTCATACTTCTTAACCTGTGTTTCTACAGTGCCTCTGCTTGGTGTACCCCTCTCCAAACCAATTACACTTTACCAGTAAAAGACAATACCTGCAGCATGGCCAAAGATACCTTAGTTTTCCTTTTTGCATTGACAATCCTGTGTTTACTCACCAGCATCACATTTTTTTTCCCTTTTCCCATCTTGGTCACTTTTCCCAGCAGAGTTTGACAGGCTGAAGTTACTCAATTGCAGGGATAAATCACCTGCTGTTACCATGGGCGGCTGCTCCTGGTGGATGGGCAGGCATACAAACATCTCAGAGAAAAAGCAGATCGATTTCTTCTGCAACATGATTGTCACAAATATTGTTGATCTTACATTATGCGTGATTGTTTATATAAAGAGAAAGAATCTTTACTTCCTCCTGGGGCGTTTGGGAATTTGGCAGGGTGTGAAAGCGACTCAGTGGTGCATAGGGTAATGCTCCTCAGAGAGAGTGTGCTTAGTACTTTTGCAGGAGATCACATTAGTGCTCTTGACAGAATCAAACAGAAAGTCCCAGGTGAACAATGAGTTTTTAGGATGAAAAGTAAAACGTTAGGAAGGTGTGTACATCGCCATGAATTTGCTTTATCTTGCTCGTTGATGTGGTGGTAACAGAACTATTTTTAGGTATAATCCTTCAAACAGAACATAACTTCTCCTTTCTGATTAGTACAAAGCTGGCTGCTAGTCAAAGGATAATTATTTCCCAACACATCACCTAACACACACCAGCAAACAAAACCCTCATTATTTGAACTATCCAGCACTAACTGTTTTTTAGCAGTTAACATTTTCTTGTCGGCTTTAAATAGGACTAATTGCTGCAGCTTCATTAGCAGAGGTCATTTGCTGTTGGTAACGATACTTTTCTGGAGATAGTCTCTCGTATGAGATTAGATTATCAGGTCAAATTCTGCTCCCAGTGGCAATGATGCCTGACCGCATTTGGCCTGACAAAAGTCTGCTCTTTGCAGCTCACAGTTGCCCAATTTCCAGCCCTGCAGCTGATATATTACATAAAGGAAGTAAGTGCACTCCACCAGACGGGAAATTACAATAAATTAGGAAAGTGTGCAGCACAATGCAGGTTTGCAAAATAGCCACTTAAAAGTTATTAATAAAACCTAAACCTCAGATAGAGTTTAGGAAAAAAAAAAGCTGGTAAAGAAGTTGTCCTTATAGTCGAGGACATGTGGATGCCCAAGAGGGAAAGCAGCATCTGCGTAAGAAACAGTGCATGCAGCAACTCAAACATCCAGCTGATGCTGTCAAATACACAGTTCAGATCATAAGCCACCTTTTTTGCACAGTTCTATGCTGCTTGGAGCTATAAACAGTGGATGCTGAGGGTTGCAGTCTCAGAGTGGAGAGGATTTGCAGGAGGGCTTCTGTGCATTTCTCACTGGTGAGGAGTTCTGCATGTCTAAAACAGCCTCAGCCTCCCTAAGCTCACAGAAAACTGAATCCAGTTCTTCAATCCGGTCTATTCCCATTTAAACACGTGAAGAGAGGCAGCCTTCTTTTCAGAAGTGCTGAGCAAACACTGCACAGAGTGTGGCCGGCGCCGTAGAGAATCGGGCGTCTTCCATGTGGAAGTCTCCAGGCATCCTCGCCAAATAATTCTGGTCCTGGCAGCTGCAGGACATTTTCTCTGAGCGGATTTCTGGTTTACCTGTGTCTCCATTGCCTGCAGGCCCGTGGATCTTTGCTGTTGCTTTCCTGCCCACGTACGTGTGCAGCCGCATGCCTACCACCTTTTCTTTCTGACTTGCAGCTCCAACTGCTAATCCATGTCTGGTTTTCGTCAGAAAAAAATATTCATCCTGAGCGTTTGACTCATTGCCTCCGGAGTATTTCAGCTGCCCCACAATGCTTCTCAGAGTATCCTTCTTCCCTGCAGAGAACAGCCTGTTCTGAGTGTGATCCACAGCAGACTGCTCGCCAGCAGCCTCCCCTTCCTCGCACACGTGTGTGCCATATGTCCTGCTCTGCCCTCACTGTTACTGTGCCACCGCCTTTTCCACGCCGTGCAAGACGGACTGGCATCCCCTGTGCAGGCTGCCAGTGGGATTACTTCAGCTGTCTACAAAGGCACTCAACGTGTCAGCCTCCAGACTCAACCAGCAGGTCCTCAACTGGCAAAAATTCAACAGCAGATGAATCCTGACTGCTTTGCTGACACAGCTGGCCCTTCTGAGGTCAGTGGGCTAAACTCATCCTACCTCAGTGCCATTACACTTGTCCAGGAGATGCATCACCCAGTACAGTTCTTCAGCAGGGCAAGCAGAGCAAGTTCTGGCCATAGGTTTCCCACCTAAGTTGGACCCTGTTGAGGCAAAATTGTCACCACTTTTTAAAATCTAAGGACAGGAGTGGTTGCATAGTTAAAACTGAGTGTGTGAACTGACTTATGAGATGAAGAGCCAAGTCCATTATGCTGTCCTGCTCCATGCAGTAGGCACTGTGCTTCCCCAGGATCCAGCACCCTGCTGAGGATGAGGGCTTGACAGCCACTTCAGTTCCCAGCCAGGTGTTGGGATCCTGTCCTGCTCTACCCAGCAGGCAGTGACCTGGCCCTGCACTGGCTCTGTGATCTACAACGTGCACAAGCAGAGCAGTGCTGTCTCCCCATCCCATCCCATCCCATCCCAGACATGCACAGCCAAACTCTCACTGCAGTTGCTGACATCAGATATCATCCAGTACACCCTTTTGGTCCTGTTGTGTTTGCTGCAATCAAAGATAAAACCAGATTTTTTTTTCATCATTTGTTGTAGAGTGGCAAAGCCCACTTTGCTTAGCTCCTGATCTGATATAACCCCAACATTTTAAGGAGCCCATTTTACTGTTATCAAGAAAGACACATTAACTGCAGCTCACATCAAATTCCAATAACACCAATGGAAAAGTATTATTTACTTCTCCAGTCCCTTTATTTTGTACTTGCATAAAAAGAGTAACTTTTTTTCCCCCTGAAAATACAACATTAGAAATTGCAAAGGACAAATTCCTTAACTTTGAAAACAAAGAAAAATGAACAACTGGTTTCCAAAACAAACCGCGAGCCACCACCCTGAAGAACTCGCTTTGGGAAGTGCTGCTCCTGGGAGATGATATTTAATTAAACTATACTCTTGAGTTTAATAAAGCTAAAAATTACTTCACTTTTATTCAGCACTGTCTTTTTGTTTCTCTGTCTGTCATGCATTCATTTCAGTAATGAAAAACTTTATGAAACCACAAGGGTAGAGCACACCTTCATAAAGCAATAAATGAACACAATCTTTTGGAGCAGGGGGACAAAACTGCAGCACTTCTGCTCACTTAACTCCTTATTTAGATCAATGAAAAGTGTAACATTCAGTTATCATGACCTGCTTGGGCAGGATCAGGCCTGCTGTCAGCATGAGGTGGATCTACTTGTGGGGTGGCATGTGATGCTTACAGAGATTTCTTTCTACTCAAGACCATTTTAAGTTTTCAAATTAAGTGTCCTCTGTAATGTTAAATATTCTGGTCTCCTGACTCTCAGCCATGTCCTCCTATGACAACAACAACAAAAGAAAAAAAAAAAAAAGAAAAAAAGAGAGAAGAATATATTCCAAAAAGGAATAGTTCAAGAAAATGAGTATTCATTATCAGAGTGGAAACACCTTGTCTTTAGTCATTAATTTAGCCATTAATTTTTTCCCATTAATAAGGGAAGTCAGTGGACCTCAGTGCAACAGGAACACAACCATACTGGGTTTCAAACAGGTTTCTTACAACACTGTGTCAGGAAAAGCCATTAGATCAAATTGTATTGGTAATCTGAGCCATCTTTGGAGAAAAACAAATGCTGTTCTTCCCATTACAGGTTGGTATTGTTTCAAAACCTATAGAGACACACTTGTTTGTGCTGCAATGGTATTTATTGCACATAGACCAATTACTTACACAGTAGTAAATTGCACCAAAGTATAAATATGTTATAAAACACACACACAGAGGAAAATAGAAATGACACACAAGTGCTAAAATAACAGCAGATTCACGTGAGCATTTGGAAATAAAAATAATAGAGTCTCTTAAGATATTTTAATTTATAATATGGATATATTTACAGTACCTTCGAAAAATAATATTTAAAAAGTCACTCTCTCAATAAAACTATAACAGATCAGACAAAACCAGAAATCAGGTTCAGGGTCGGTGTTACTGAAACCTCCGTTTCCTCTTCAATCTGCATGTGTGTATGTGTGTGCAAGTAATATCTTCAAATAACTTTACAACTCTTTAACACTGTGCAAAAAACGACTTTGTCGCCATTTTTTAAAAAAATGTGCAGTAAATTTTGGTTGCCAGGATTCTCCCCCCTCCCCCCGTTCATCTGTAGTTACAATGAACAAGCTGCAGAAGGTTCCTCATCCCCCCTCCCCGGCCCTTGCCATAAAACCCTATTAGTGGTATGTAAATATGCTGTTTAATATAAACATGGTCCGTTCATTCCCCTGTACAATATGCACAGTTTGAGGTAGAAGTTTTCAGCCTGACTGCTATTGTCTGGCCGAAGGAGATAAGCACAGTAACTCACTGCTGGCTGATGCAGAAGGAATAAGCACAAGAGTGCGGGTTGGGTTGTTTTACCCCCTTTCCAAATATACCAGTGCTCCTCACTGCTCATTATTTTCTCTCTCGCTGCTCTGCAGACGAGGAGAGCACGGCTGCTCCGAGCTTTAAACTCATCTTGCCGGCAGGTCTCGGTCTTGCCGGCCGCGCTCTGTGCCCGAGCACCTGCAGCGCCGACCCCGCGCCTCCCAAAATCCCGGTGCCCTGGGAGAGGGGATGAGCCCCGGGGCCCGGCGGGGGTGGCCGGACCCCAGCTGCGGCCGAACTCGGCCACCAAGGGACAGCAGCACCCGCTGGTTCGGCCAGCAGCACGGTCCTGGGACAGGCACCCGAGCGCGGGCGCTGCCGCCGCGGTCCCCGCGACAGCGCGTCTCCTACAGACAAGGTGGCTGTCTCTGGGATGGGCTGTTTATTTATTTCCTTTGTTCTCCGGTCAGTGGGTTTCCTGTTTTCTGTAGTTTAGGATGAGGTATTTCGTACACCAGTTCACCTGCTTTTATTCCTAAGTAAACACCCGCGCTCCCCCTGCCAAGGCAGGGATCGTTTTGCTTGGCGATAGCAATACACCATCAGGCAGCTGCCGGGGATCTCTCTGCTCCTGCGTGTCTCCCTGCCTGCCTTTCCCCCCTGTCCCGGCTCCCATGCCGCCCCCCACGCCCCCCCTATACCTTGGACTCCGAGTCGGAGGCTTTGCTATGTCTCTCCTCCAGGCTGGACTCGCTGCCGCCCCGTGTGCCCCCGTTGCAGTCGGACCAGGTCCCGGCCAGGCTGCGCTCGGGGGAGCCCACGGTGCTGACGAAGCCGCCGGGCAGCCGGGCCAGCTCCCCGCCGCCGCCCTGCAGCCACCGGTCGGCTTTCCGGCGGCAGCAGAGCAGCCTCTTGAAGGCCTTACGAAAGTCGGGGCTGCGGCAGTAGATGATGGGGTTGAACGCGGAGTTGGCGTAGCCCAGCCAGTTGAAGAAAACGAAGAGCCAGTCCGGCACCAGGTCCCTGTTGAAGACGTTGACGATGTTCACCAGGAAGAAGGGGAGCCAGCAGAGAGTGAACACCCCCATTATGATACCCAAAGTCTTGAGGGCTTTCTGCTCCTTCATGGCCATGATGCGAGAGGTCTTTCGCTTGCTGGCCCGGCCGTTGCCGAGGATGGGCTGGTGGTGAGGGTGAGCGGGCAGGGGCGTCTGCGGCTGCTCCTGGCTGCCGTAGAACCGGCCCTCGCACCTATCTATCTTCCTCATCTGCTCCTTGGCCTCTCTGTACACCCGCATATACACAAAGATCATGATGAGAAGGGGGATGTAGAAAGAAATGATGGACGAGGCGATGGCGTAAGCCCTGTTGGTGACGAAGTCGCAGCAGCCCGGATCCTGGTAGCACTCCAGCGCCTGGGGGTCGTCATCCCGCCACCAGTGCATCATGATGGGCAAGAAGGAGACCAGGGCAGAGATGGCCCAGACGGTGCAGATGATGCCCTTGGCCCGACCCTTGGTCATGAGGCTTTGGTAGCGGAAAGGCGAGGTGATGGCCAGGTAGCGGTCGATGGCGATGACGCACAGGGTCTCGATGCTGGCCGTCACACACAGCACGTCCAGCGAGGTCCAGCACTCGCAGAGGAAGGATCCCCAGAGCCAGGTGCCCCTCACCACCAGCGTGGCCCCGAAGGGCACCACCAGCAGCCCCATCACCAGGTCGGCGCAGGCCAGCGAGGTGATAAACAGGTTGGTGAGGGTCTGCAGCCGCTGCGTCCTCCCGATGGCCGCGATCACCAGCACGTTCCCGGCCACGATGAGCAGCACCACCAGGGCCATCAGCAGGCTCATGCCCACAGCCCACTGCTGCGACAGCAGCTCGGCGGCGGGCAGCTGCCTGTTCCCGGGCGGCACGGCCGTCACCCCGGCCACGGAGCGGTTCGGGGGGCCGCAGTCCGGAGGCAGCCACCCATCGCCCATGGCTGTGCGGGGCGCTCCGGCCGCCGCTCCGCACCGCGCCGCGGGCAGGAAGGCGGCGCCGCCGCCGCTGCCACCGCCCGGGGGCTGCCGCATGGCCCCGCGCCGCGCCGCCGGACGGGACCGCCCCGGGACCGCCTCTGTGCCGCCCCGGCACCGCCCCGGCACCGCCCCGGCACCGCCCCGGTACCGCCCCGACCCTGCCCGCCTCCAATCGGCGCAAGGGAGCGGGACTGAACCGCCCCGCCCGCGCACCGGCGGTACCGCTGCCCGTATCCCTCATCTATCCGTGCCCCTATTCCTGCTCCTATCCCTGCTCCTATTCCTGCCCTATCCCTGCTCTCTCCCTATCCCTGGCCGTACCCCTGCCCCTATTCCTGCAGCTATTCCTGCTCCTATTCCTGTCCGTATCTCTGCCCCATTCCTGCCCCCTATCCCTGCGCTATCTCTGCCCCTATCTCTGCCTCTATTCCTGCCCCTATCCCTGCCCTATTTCTGCCGGTATCCCCCCCGGATCCCAATCTTTGCTCCGGCTGCGCTCCCCCTGCCCCGCGGCTGCCGAGCACAGAGCCGCCTTCCCGCACGGCAGCGTGGATGTCCTGGACAAGGGATGTCTGTGTCCGGCAGCCGCAGGGCAGGCGGCGGATACAGGCAGGGTGGGTTCCTACCGGCTTCTGGAGCAGAACTTACTTCTCTTTATCCCTGGAAAAAGCAAAATTCTAGCACTGTCAGTATCATTCTCCACTGGAGAGTGATTGACATCCCCTCCCATTGGATGTCCCTATCACGGACAAGCGTCGCTCTCCCAATCCCCCTCCTCTCCCAGCCCGGGCAACCCCAGACCCCCATGTAAAACCCGCTTAAAGGGATGATGCTGCCAGCTCCTGCGGCTGTCGCTTGTGCCCTGCATCTCCCCGTTGCGAATCCTCTTTTCCCCATCTCCTCCAGCCCTGCCAGCGCAAGCCACTGCAGCGTTGGGAGGTGAGAGTTCCAACTCCCTTTTCTGGCTTTTCTCTGCTCTATTGAACATGTCTCTCTGGATTTTTAAAAATGCATGCAGTAGCTTTTACACAGTCTGGTCAAACCCACTGAATCTAGGGACTGCTCTAAGTATTAATGCTACTAGTACCATTATTTGGTAATGAGCAGTAAAGTATGTGAAACATCGGGAGACTGCAATGCCCAGATAACCAGCAAATCCCTGCCCAGGTCCCATCCCCTTCTGTGAAACCTGCTGCTTGGAACTTGTTTGGTTAGATTTTCATTTACCTGCGTGGATCTCTGTTCTACTCTGCTCCGAAGCCGTAAGACTGCAGTTTACTGCATTTTACTTCTGTTTTAAACTTCTTAAAATAATGTGGAGCCACCACTGAGTAAACGAGAAAAATGTCCCCTCTCTCCTGCCTTTTAAATCATTGGCATGTCTTTACAGCAGCACCAAATGTTCCCCACAGCACTCTGGGAGCAACTGGAAGGCACATTTATTTTCTTCCCCTTATATATTTATTCTGCTAAGATTGCTCTGCTGTTCCAGCTGACCCATAAAAATCCCTTGTAGGCTTAGGCTTGATTTACAAGGTCACAACCTGGGGAAAAATTATTTATTTATTTACACTCTGTTTATTTAACCCTGACTAAAGGCCACACACCAGCAGGGACCTGCTGCTTGGCAAACCATTCCCTCATGTTCCCATGGACTTTGCTTTGCTACTCGTCATCTGCTGGACCAAAGCATGACCCTCTTTAGTGGGAAGGAAAGAGGGCATGACATCTTCAAGAGCAGAGGGAGACCTTATGCCAAATGAAAAGCAGAAGAGTTGTTTCCAGGAGTATTTGCCCAGGTCTGGTATCTGTAATCCTGATCTAAAAAAAAAATAAAATAATATTATGAAACCAGGTTAGTGGAGCTGTGGGATAGAAACAATTTTTTCTTTTCTACATTTATCTGGAACACTTAAAGTAAGAATGAGGCCCATGATGCATCATTGCACCAAAATCTTCACAGATGAGATGCTTGGATGGATTTTGTGAATGTGTACAGTCCATTTTAGCATAAAATCAGCCAGAAAAAATTCTGATAAAATCTTAACTATTTTTCCCAAGATGACACTGAAGCAGTGGTGGGGATACCATGCAGCTGTTTTAGTTGCTATTCCTGGAGCACTATCCATCTGTTGTCTGTCCAGATCAATTATTGCTGTAATATCTTTATACAGTTAATAAATACTGTAAACTAATAAAATGCCAGCTCTTTGCCTGTCAAGCTGTCCTATCAGATCTCCAGCAGGAGGTCTCTTCCCACCATAAGAGATGATAAGCTTAAAGGTTGGAGGAGTAAAGGAAATTATTAGCAAGTATGCAATAAAGCACAAGACACATAATTGTGTGTTGCTTCTCCGTGTCTTTGCTGGTTCCACACGGGTCGATCTGGAATGTCAGATCAGAGCTGGAGCCAGAATGTCTTTGGGAAACAATGCATCTCCAAAGGAAAAAATAAGCAAGTTTACGAATTCTGTACAGAATATCCCTCTGGCCCTTGCAGCACAGAGCAGCCAAATATCCACTGTATGCTTAACCCCTTTCAGAGCATTACCTTTTGCAAATCTCCTTTAACTGTAAATTTCCTTGGTTTTTTTGTTTGTTTGTTTGTTTGCTTGTTTTCATTTCAGACTGCTTTTTAACGTGATTTAAATACTTCCCTTTATTTGCATATTATTTAAGGATGTTATGTTAGGTCAAGAGAAGAGCTTACAACACTGAAATGGTTTGTTTCTACTTGCTTTCCAAATCACAGTTTTTAATAAGCAACTAATTTATTTTTTCCTCTGGAAGTCTTAAAAAAAATTTAAAAGAAAGCCCAAGCTGTCAGTAGTTATTAGGAGAGATCAGTCTTATATTGCATAGAGAATAACAGGTAGATCCGATGAGAATCAAAACGTAATTCATTTGAGGAATCCTGTTGACATGAGCTGTGAAACCTCAGCATTTCAGGAACTGAAGTGGGCTATGTGGGTGTATTTTTAAACCTAGTCCTTTGAGATGCTTTGCACAGCTTCCAGCTTGTCTTTGTGTGCCTGCAAAACAAATCCAGGATGGGAATTCTGTTGAACGGGTTCTGTTCCTACCAACAGCACCAGCAGTGGGGCAGGAGGCTGGGACTGACCCCTTTCTTCATCCTAGCTGTAGCTAGGGCAGTGGATTTGCTGTTGCCAGCTCTGGCTTGCTGCTGTAGGCAAGTAGGCAATTCCTGAATCTCCAGGGCTGCTCTGAGCTCTGTGTGCCTTGTGATGCTCCTTATGACCCAGAAGGATCTTGTCTTCCTTGCCCAGTCTTGGTCCAGCCACGCCTTCCTGAATCAAATTCAGGGACCACAATTATTAACACAATGCCCTCTAAAAAGATGAGCTATTTGTTCTCTTAAGGCATTAATCAAAGTCCACTGAAAAGCCTGGAAATCCTCACATTGATTTCTGTGAGCCTCATGTTGTCATTCCTTCTCTGGAGAAAAAGAACCACCTAAAAGCAAATTAAAAATGCATTTGCTGTCCATTTTTCTTCCTTCTGTTTTCCTAAATCTCTTTGCAAACTTAACATGCATCTGATAAATCATTTTGTGTTTGCTACCTGGACAGCTGACTAAAACCTGCAGGAAAGCAGGTGAGGAACAACTCTGTGAGTCCTCGTGTGAAGTGATCGGGCTTCACCCTCTCCCTGCTGGCCCAGGAAGAAATCATCACTTGGCTCTATTCACACTGGACATTTGTTATTAGAGAAATAGAGACATGATGGAACACTGCCACAAGATCCATGTCTCTTGTTTTTAAAATAAACATCTTGGCTTTGACTTGACGTTTATTTTCCATAAATGCCTCGGCTTCAATTTGGCATTTCAGCAGCAGCGGGAGGCTGTTATCCTGTGACAACACGCAATTCCATTGACATTATCGCCTGAGCACATGTGACAGCGCTCCAAATACTGTATGTAGTTGATTTTAGTTAAACAATATCAGGAAAATATAAAACAAAGGTATCAAAGAACAGAAGTGGCCCTACTTTCCAGCCCTATGCTGTGTGTATGACACCATAATTCCGTGGGGAATGCTGTGTACAAGTGTGAGCTATTTCAAGAAGCACATCCTGAGACTGAATTTGGGGTTCCAAAGCAGTGAATGCTTATTAATTCCTGTTCACTCAAGGGCTGTGGCTTATGTGATGGTTCGTGTGTGCAGGACTGAGCATATCAACATTTTGAAAAGTTCCAAACCAATCTGAACACACATAAATAAATCCTGACACTCTGGAAGACTCTGTCACAGCAACCCAGCCATTGTTTAGAGTATTTTTGTCATCAGAAGTCTGTCTTACAATGATGCTGATTCATTAATTCCCTTCAGGTGATAAAAGAGATGCAATATGTCTTTCTGTCTCTCTCTCACACACTGAGCAAAACAGTGCTGAAGAACAGCCAAGTAATGTTTCTTCTCTCCTGAAATGTGTGTTTCATTGCTGCTAAAAAGTCAAAATTCAGAAAAAGGCTGAGTTTGATCAAACACCATTCAATTCTCCCAGAACAGACTTTATTTGCAATCTGGACTAATATTAATCTGGAGCAATAACAATGTGCTCAATTATCCAGATTACAACTGACTTTAATTGCTCAAGTTGCCAGGTCTTCCTGTCTGCATCCCCCTATACTTTCTTGACATCCCAACTCCTCTACAGAGACACTGGCACTGTGAGAAAAGGCTGCCTCTTTTTTAAGCATCAGCAATTCCTGTGAGAGGGGTGGCAAAACATCTTACAGCAGTCCAGAAAACCCTGCAGTGGCCAGAGCCTTTGTTTATATGGAGAGATTGTGGTCAGAGATGACAGCAGAGGAGTGATGACTGAGTCCTCTGAGATTTCATGCCATTCCTGCTTTAACGCATACTGGCTGCAAGAAGTTGCCTTATTTCTCCATCCTGATGCTTACCCATCAATAGGATGACAGTAGCATGCTTTGGGAACCTCCATCTCATATTTTACCTGGGTAAAAACTGGTGCTTTAAAACCACATCTTGGGCTT